CTCAGTAGAAGTGGACCATTACTATCTTTTGCAGGCTGAACTTCTTCAGATGGCACAGGAAATACATCCTGTGCAGTTCCTGTGAGGTGGAGGTCATGTTCAGCTCCCACTTGAGATACAATAACCCTAAATCAAAACATTACCAGTGCATACCTAATCCTAATTCAACCCACAAAACACCTTAGCTTAAACCTAACCTTTAACAAAATAGCTCATTAGGACCATCCAAAATGTCCTCTCTTTGTAAAAATGTCCTCACTCCAAAGATTAAAAACTAAAACTCACTTATTCTAGAACCGGGGCACACACACACGCACTTACCCGCTCACTCTCTCACTCTAATTGAAAGTCCAATCTCACTCCTTTAGGCGAAATCATCCCCCAGAGATGAGCCTAATGAGGGGAGGTGTTGATGTGTTCTGGGTGAAGAGCAGGGGGAAAGAACACGTGTTGAGTTCAGTTATCCTTGCAGCTCCACTTAAAGAGGTTAGAGTGATATAATCACTGAGGTCAATTTGTTTTAGTTTCCTGCCAGTGGACCTTTGTATTCTCTATGGCCACCATGGCAACGGTTACAACCTCAGCAATAATAAAAACATTGTTCTTTGCAGTATTCTGTTCCCATAATCACCATCTACTAAAGACAAGTCATACCTGAAGTGACTTAATGCTACATGCATAATGACAACAATACAAATGATAAAACAAGTATGGCATCCACTCAGATACCATCCTGTTGCACTGATTTCTGACTTGTAATTTTAACTTGGTTTTTCTACTTAAAATGTCTGACTTGGAAGTTGGAGTTTCCATCTTCCAATGACAAATGAAATGCACCAACAGCCTGGTTCTGAACTGGTTCTGATGGTCCAGGAATCTGATATGTTTTCCTGCTTCACATCGTGTCTGTCAGGAGGACGGTGATCCAGCGCTCATCCTGCAGCAGGGTTGGGACACTTGTTGAGCAGAGCATAAGTCCATAAACATGATACTGGTGCAGGTTCCTGTGAAGTCCAATTGCAGCTTCATATAGTGAAGGACTATGTTTATTGCAACCTCCACAGATTCACTGGCTCTGTTGGCAAATTGCATTGGATTCAGAAATTAGTCTGTGATGGAGTTAAGATAGGTCAGCATGCAGAAACACCTGCACACACAACATGGCATACATTTTAACGAATGCCGTGTTTTTGATGCTTTCAGACAGAAGCTGAAGTTACGACCAGCATGGAAGGCAACTCTGGTGGTAAGTAGCTAGTTTTATTTCACTGGCTGTGCTTAATGTGGTTCCTAGTAAATCCTATGCCAATTCTGGGAATAAACCAATTTGCTACCTCTCTGGGGTTATTAAGGGAGTGTGCCTTTCTTGTTAATCCAGCCCTTCATTGCTAGCATGTTTAATTAGAACTTCTGGTAGCTGGAATTATTTCATGATTTTAGCTATTGCAATGTATGTAACGAAACATGCTACAAAGTTTCTCTGTAGTTCAGGGAGCGAGAGAAAGGTGACAATCTTTTATTTAAATCAGGGGGAGATGAGTTTATTTCCCAAATTGTACAGTAAGGCTTTTTCATTAAACGGATGCCTTCTCCATTAGATTTAGATCACTGTGATGAGCAGGGTAGCCTGGCTGGCTCAGAGGCTGGCAGCTCCAGTTCACTGCCTTCTGTTTTCGCCGAGGCAGGCACAAATAGAATGTCCCTGACGAAGGTAGACGAATGTCACCGTGCACTAACCAAGTTCATTGTTTCACAGAATCAATAAGAGAATCGATAAAGAATCAAATCGTTTCACAGAATCAATAAGGGAATCGGAATCATGAAAAGCTGATCAATTCCCAACCCTAAACATGATGGACTGAGGTTTTAATCAAGGCGTTGCAGTCGGGCCCAGTTGTCCTGATTGATCATTATCAACCATTTTTAGCAATAGTTCACATCATCTAGAGACATCAAGAGAGGAGTGTTTTCTAATGCTGCATTCTGGGCGCCAGCAGCAGCAGAAATAGACGATTAGCCATCAGAGGTAAATGTTTGCTATGTCAAAACATATGAAGAAAGATGTATTTCTATGTCTTCTTTAGCATATTTATGCTTTTCAAGTCAACATCCACCTCAAAAAAGCATTAAAACCATTTGTGCAAAATCCACTAAGTTTATCCTAATTTTCTTGTCTCCATCAAGCTCTTCTAAAGCAATACTTCAAAATGCACATAATAAAGGACACATCTTTTGATTAAAGCCGCTAAGCTTCTCACACCTCACTACACCTCAATCACAATGATATGAACAAGCCCAAGATCTTTGGCTGTAAACTTTGGTTTACGGCCAAAGTCACACAGACTTTGGCCGTAAACCAGGGTTTATCATTGTTGTGAATTACCCTGGTTTGTGTTGGTATAAGATGATGTAAGACATCACAGATTCTGTGAACTCATCTAGGCTGTTGGTAGCAGTTCAGAGCAGTCCAAACACACATGAAGATCCTGAACAGCGTTGCTGGTCTGCTTCTTTGATGTCTTCACAGGGTTACAGAGCTTTAAGGAGATCCTCCTGCACAGTCAAGTCTTTTACAGCCTCTAAGAGGTTTTCATTAGAGGTTTTCATTGGAGACTACTCTGTGCTCTGTTTAGTTCTATCAACCTTATTATTAATACTGTGAAGTATATTTTCCCTTCTCCCTTGATAAAGAAAAGTATCCCAATGGTATGATGAGTCCCTGAGGTGGAGTGATTGAGGGTCTAATCGTAAATGAAAGAACAACATCAAAAGGCCAAATAGTTGGGTTGCTTTAAAAGTACCACAGTTTGTTTCTCAACTTAGTCTTAACCGTATGTGTCAAACAAATTCTGGTCCATACCAAACAACCTCGGGTGTGAATCGCTTCAGGTATGACTACAAGCCAGGCTTGGTATGACCCAAATATAGAAAGTACCATAGTATTAAACATAATATGAAAATTATACCTGTTTCACTAACGGTTGCTTAACAACTCTGCTTCCAATAAGCAGGAAGCATTCTCCAACATCACAAAATTCTAAGTGAAACTTCTTTCTACTTTCTAAAAAAAATGCAAAGTACATTTTTGTGAACTAAACATTAAACTAGACACCCATATTAGCACTCACAATGGTTTTGCAACAGTGACGACAGCATAAATATGCAAAATAGAGGTGCGTTCCTCTTTTAGTAGTTTCACTCCATTTTCTTGTCTGTGTGGGCTTGTTGTGAGTTATCGTCGACTTGCAAAGAAGTACAATCTGAATATGAACCAAACCTAATGAAAAAAAAGTCTGCTTTTGATCTGGAACCAACAACCAGACCTTTTCATGGCCCAAAGCACTAAAGATTGATTTCTGATCAGAACACCTCCTGTCCCATGTGTCCTGTTAAATCTTAAAGAGCTGACGATGAACTTGGTAAACTTCCTACAACATTGTCTTCCTCTTACAGTTCTTACAACAAGATCAGATGTTGAGTGATAAACTTATAGTTGCCCTTTCAAGTTACCAGCAGCATCTTAGCTGCTTCTTCCCTTATAATCTTAGCTGTCAGATGATAGGTGTATATACAGAGTTTTGGGTATTGTTTTATACACTGTTTTAGTCTTCTCCACGGCTTTGCTGATCGGTTTATTGAGTTCCAAGGTCTTCATGATGTTGCTCGTTTTCCATTACCTCTAACAAACCTTCAGGCCTTCACAGAAGAGCTGGATTTATGCAAAAATTAAACTTCACATAGATGGATTCTATTTACCAACAAAGATACTCCTGCTTATACTTGCAACAGATCTTATTTAGGGCATCAGAGATGGTAAAACAGATCAAGACCGCACCTGTCAGATTTGTTATTTTCTTTAATAACTGCCTTGTCCAACTCCAGCCTGCATTGTTTTACGCAAATGATCTACCAGTTTGTTAACCAGGCAGTTAAAGGCTTAAAACTCTGTATCACTTTCCTTCAACTTTCCATTTATGTGATACTTTGTCTTGGTTTTTCGCTCAAGACGACCCAACAAAACATTGACTAAAGCTTGTGGTTTTTTTTAAGGCACTGCATATAAAGAGAAGCGGCTGTGTGTGAGTGACTATAGAGTGCTCGGTTGTATCTAAGTGCAATAAAACATGGAGAATTATGCTCACTCACAGTCTGGAAAGTGATCACATAAAAGTGATTTTGCAACACTATTTCAAACGTTAAAAGAAGAAGAAAAAAATTTCCATTGCTCTCGAGTTTGAACTTTTTTAGTATCTTTGTCTGGAGCAGCAGTGGGAATTTCACCGGATCAGCTGTCCCAGGGCTCAATCCAGTCATGCGCTCACTCAGGCAACATTCCTCATTTTAAGATCGGAACACAAAAGAAAACACTGAACAGCATGACCACAACTCATTTTTGTACCAATCTCATAATTTATTTAAATATATCTCATTTTTTAAATATATATAGATATACACTTTTATATATTTAACACCTCTTTTGCTAAATACCAGCCAAGTCATTTATGGTGGATTCCTTCTGTGGTTGTTTAGCATATGTACATTACACTCCTGGTTGAACAGATCATGACTTATACATTCTGTAATCTTAAGCCTTTTGATGACTGAAATACATAAACATAGGCCTCAACACCCCTTATCCAGGGTTAGTCTGTCGACAGTTTGGCTGTAGCTTGCAGCCACCACTTGTGCTTTTGTTTTGCAGGAAAACAATCATGCACTGATTTAACAACAGTTCATTCTGAGCACAAGGGGACCACACCAGGGGAACTTCTGTTTTAGGTCAAGTTAGTACAGTAAGAGGATCAAAGTCAACCTAAAACAGTCAAAATGGGCAAAATGTCTCAAAAGGAAAGCATTTCTTGATTTATCTTTTTTTTTTTTCCATTTGCTTAAACAACATTCTTTTGAAATCCTGTTGGAGAGGAAAAGCCCCCGCTTTGCTCATCTTTGCTAGTTTCAACTCTTTGCACTCCACTGTCTTTATCCTGGTCTGTTTTTTCCTTGCTTGTTGCTCCCGTGTAATGATAGCTAACCTTCGAGGCCCAGCCAAAGTTGTGATTGGAAGCAATTTTCACCTCAGCACAAGGGGACGTGGGTGAAGCAAAAACCCTGTGCCTAAAGTCAGTCAGGCAGATCAGGTTTAGGCTTCCCTCTCATCGTCCAAGGCACCTTTTACCAAAGTATTTTTTTTTTTGTATCTCTGCTTCTGAAGTACTTTTGATTTACTTCAACCTGCAAAACAAAAAGGAAAAGGGAAATGTCAGCATGGTCTTCAATCAGGCAACAAAGAATTACAAATGATAAATCAAGAAACTTTATATGCCTCAGCACTGACACTCTGACAGTGCCAACACAAGGGCCTCTGTATGTTGATACAGCCAGCACTAAGAACAAATGTTAAGCAGCATGGTCTACACTCTGAACTCAGGCCTGATTCATGCTAAGCTTTATGAGTCTCGACTGATTATGATCATTTGCTGTTTATAAGTATCTGGCACAGCGGCAATAAACCACACTTACAAGGAAAAGCCACAGTTTTAGGTATGTTCTAGACCACAATAAAGCTCTGCACAGAAAAACATAGTTGACTTTGATCCATTCTACTTTTACAAGTTCTCAACTTTGTTTTAAAGCATTTTAGTTCTGCCGACATCATATTTTACTCAAGACGTTTGGGAATTATAGTATTTAGGTAAGTGTGCAAAGTAAAAACAAAAATTACAAATAGTCTGATCATGAATGAAGATAACATGAAAAAATTGACATCTGAGCAGAGCCAAGATTACATGGGGTCCAGAGCAGCACTTTGATTTGGTGCTGGAAATTACAGCTAGCCTTTTCTAGACTTAGACAGATTTTATTTAGTCATTTTGTATACACAAGTGTATACAAAAAGAACTTTCATTTAGTACAGCTCTCTAGACATTTTCATTTTCATTTAGTATAAATTTCATTATTTAATTTCATTTTTTTTCATTATATTTTCATTTTAGTATAAATCAGTTAAATATTTAAATTATGCTTTGAGTAGTTGGTAGTTTGTTAAGCAGACACAAGAAGCAGGATAATCAAGCTGTTGAAATGAAATGATGCTCAAACTATGGATATTTCCTTATGTTAAAATACATAGATTGTTTTGACTTTTTTCTTTTACATATAACTAAATTCCAGGTTTTAAGATCTGTGTGAGAACCCTTGGAGCCCTAAGCAGCAGTGGCTATGTTTGCTTATGCCTTAGGTCAGCTATGTGTGTGAGTTGAAGCATCCTAGTACCTTTTGAGTGTGTGTCTGCTACCCCTCTGTGCACTGTGGGCTGCCTGCAAGCCGTGAGAGAAGTCGCGCACATCTTTTGAAGTCTGAGAGAAAGAAAACACAAAGAGAGAGACAGTGAGCGCTTTCTTTTCATGCACAATGTTGATATTGGATGGTGATAGCTTTCCCTCCTGACGCAGAAGATCCAAAGCAACTGTGGCTTACATGCAGGTAACGTGCAGTCTCTGGTGTGGTGATAAAGTCTGTATGCATTCTTCCTGCACTTGGAGCTGAACGTGATTGGACCTGGAAGAGAAGGAGAGAAAGCGGTCTTTGAGCACATTTTTATCACGAGCCCCTCCATCAACATCTGTTTAATTAAGCTACTTTCATCTATATTTGCTCATAAAATTGGTGCCACCAACAGAGTCATCAGTGAGAAGAAGGCAAAACTGGGATCAGCAGCATTTAAGACAAATTTTGATACATATACATCCTAAGCAGGATTAATGGGTAATTTTATTTTAATCAGACACAAACATAAGGTTCTGCTATAGTATAGCAACACTCCTATTTAAAGCTCCTGAAAGTAATTTTTCTAATGTATGGCAAGCCATAAGGGCTAAATATTGACCCTTTGGGTAATAACATTTTATAAAATTTCCATTTCATTAGCAAGGTTGCTGCATTTCACATCAGTGATTTGGCTTTAAATGCCTCTATTAGAGCATGGATAAAAAAAAAATACGTTTGATGAGCTTTTTGTAAAAATGGCATTCAAGGACCTGAAATAATGCTATTTTCGTCCGTCCTTAAGAGTCAAAGTACCATCTTTTGACATTGCTCATTAGTGACTGCCTGGTTGTTGACGGGTCAAAATGTATCATTTCCTAGCTAGAGATCTTGCTGTTTTATTTTAAAAAAATAATAAATGAACAATAATGACAAAATAATTTGGTGTTGGTTTTATCATGTGATGTAGCTTACAGTAAACATGGTTATAAGCACCAGAAAATATCTGTTTATCGACTATTGCATGTCTTTGTGTTTTTAAGCAGCAAAAAAAAAAAACATTTTGCCCCATCATTACACACCTTAGTGATGCCACAGATTTTCACTTTACTTTATTTCTGCATTCATAAACAGAGTTTTCATTGCAAAGCTGCTTGACATGAAAAAGCCTTTCTGTTTTCAATGAATGTACAATATTCTCCTTTCATGACCTTCAACTTTTAAACCATCTCTGTACCGAACATGTTGGTATTTTAAAAAATTGATACGCCTTACAGGGATGCCTTCAAAAATAGCCTGGCCAGTCAGAGTGACTCAGCTGTATCAGTCTGGGAAAGAATAAATAGAGACAGATTTTAAACATTGGACCTATAGAGTCCGCCAAAACAGGTAAACACCAATCACATAACGTTGGATGTTGTGCAAAGTTGCCTTAAAAAAAAAAAAGAAAAGCTACAACATCCAGTTGTTGAAGGTTGATAGATAAATCCAACTCATTCGGGAAATGATAAAGAATATAATGAAAACATTTTGTCTGCAATGTTGACAGTTAATGTTACAGTATAGTGCAGTTGCTTTATGGGTAAGCATAAAATCCTGCACTGTGATTTGTCTGGTCTGTTTGAAACTATTAAATAGTCTTGAGCCTTTCCAGACTGACTGATGCCCAGTGTCTCAGTCTGGGTGGCCAGATGGGGGCAGCAGCAGAGTCAAAACCGGAAGCTATACTTTGAGTTATATAGTTTAAGATTAATATTTAACAGGAAGTGCCAATGTTTAACACAAATGGCTTGCCATACCCTGAAAAATCATTGTCACAAAAACTTTTAATCAACCTCTTACCTGTGAAATATTTAATAATTCTCTCTTTCATTTTAAAATCTGCGGGGGATAAGGCTGCAGAAAGAGAAAAAGAGCAAAAATGGTACACAGTAAGTAAATGAAATGACATAAGGAAAAAAAATGTGGTGTTTTACACCATAATGTTATTATTATTTTATTTATTTTTTTTAATTTTAAATGAGATGCAGCTGTCAATTCCACCTTCAGGTGTCATCCACTTACCCAGAGCCTGGTTCCCTTTGTCTGTCTTGCTTCGGACATCCCTCTGCTCCACCGACGCGCTGCCCACCGCCCGCGGCGTCAGCGGGGCTTCCGTCCTCGAGGCGTGTCGCCCCCGACTCTCCCCCACGTGCTTCATGATCGCTACCATCCGCCTGAAGCCCCGCTGCGCGTCCCCAGCGGCTCCAACTGTCGGCGCGCTTTGGGCGCAGTGTTCGGTCAGAGCGCACAGCAGCAGCAGCAGTCCCATAATAACGGGTTTGCGCGGTGCGCTCATAGCTCCAGTGTAGTGAGGAAAGGTGAAAGGTGGATGTAAGTGAGAGAAAGGGAATCCTTTTCTTTTTGGACACCTGAAGAAGGAAATTAAGGAGCAGTTTTAAATGCTGTTGCGCTTAGAAAGTTAATTAATAAAAGGCAGTAAAAGCAGAATTATAGGACTGTGAGAAACTAACACTCACATTGACAAGACAACTTCAAATAAAGTAGCAAGATTTAATAAAAGTCTATGCTTCTTATTGTGCAGTTAATTTTAAAAAATAATAAATGCATTCTAAACTATTAGTATTTTCTTACCAGAAAGCATTTTTTTATTATGTAAAAGTATCATTACCTTCTCAAAATCCTTTTATCTTATAATCGCGTCTGGTGCGTCCAGCCAAATCGATGCACATGGGTGCAACTTTATTTCTTTTGCGTCTTCTCTGGGTTCCAAACTGTTCAGTTTTTGAAAACCTCGACTCCTATTCTTGAAAAAAAGTAAAGAAACTGAAGATGAATCGGTGAGGATCGGTAATCAGCCTCCAGACGCGGCACGCAGACAGCAAAAACAAGGCACAGAAAGTATCCGGTGTGGCGCTCCAAGTTCCAACTTCCAAGTTTGCCCTCTGTCAGTCCCTTTTTATTCTATCTCCCCGACGGCGGGGGGAACTGTCCCCTGTGTACTACTCCAACAGATTATGTGGTAATTATAGGAAGCATTACCTGAAGAGGAGAGTTAACAAGAGTTGTCCGACCATTCACTGAACACTGTCAAGTTTACTGAGGCCCCCTCCCTCTCCTCCTTTCCGTTACTCCATTTATCTGTGCGATATACGCGGTTACAGGAAGCGTCTGTCCTCCAGTAATACTTCCACTGAATTTTCCAATCAGCCCAGCGTCCAGCTCAGATGCTGTGCATCTCAGTGGAAACGCAGCAATATCCTTCTTGGGATCCTCATAACCTCATTTAGAGCCATTGCGCGCTTTACATCCATCATGGAAAATTGAAACCCAATTATGCACCTTTTAGGGACCGATTCTTCGAAAATTGATTGTTTTGTTTTAAATCGGTGGTCATTTGTTTCAAGTCAGTGCAGCCTGTTGAAGTTTGTCCTCGCTGGAAGATTGGCTTGCTCTGGCCTGCTGCTGGGGCTGGAACAGCTTTCTTAAAAGTTGGGGCGTGCAAGAGGCTCCCACGCCCACCACTTCAAATCCCAAACCGGGGGGGGGGGGCATATCTTTAAAAATAATAAACACTCATTCATGTCAGCTTCAGGTTCTATTGGCAAAGCAGGGTTCAGAAAGTTTAACCTCAGCGTATACTTGTCATATTTATGAAACGTGCCTTATTTGGCTCATAGTTTGCTATTTTTTGGTCATAATCGGATTTTAGTGCTGTGGTCACAGCCTGGTTACTTTCACCTCAAAGCTCCGCTGGGAAACGACCTTGCAGCCCTGCTTAATAGAATAACACCTCGGTGCTGAAAGGACAGCGCACTGTCGCCGTTCACCAAACTTCTTTATTGAACAAAGCCACTCTGTGTGCTCTTTAGCATTCCTGGCCAAGGGCATCTACGTTTTTAAAGGGCTGGCCAGTGGTGTAGTGATGGGTGGTGAGCATATACACTATACAAAAAAGATGACAAAATAATCAAATAGATAAAAGAAATCTATGATTTCAGTCAGGAAGTGTCAGCAGATTTTTACTATGGGGTCTTCATACATGAGGGAATTGAAATCCTTTTTCTGATAGTTTTAAGTCTTATCACATACCTCACATAGAGTGCTAAAATAAAGTAACTTTGGAGATGGTTGTACCTGAAATGTCCAGTAGATTTGCAGCTTCTGAAGCATTCAGACCAGCCTATTAGACCACCTTTAGGCTAGATCCCGAAAGATATGAGTTGCTGCCACATGATTAGGTGATTGTCTATTTCTGTTTTTGGAAAATAGATAGATAGATAGATAGATAGATAGATAGATAGATAGATAGATAGATAGATAGATAGATAGATAGATAGATAGATAGATAGATAGATA